AACGGCAGCGGGTGGCGCTCGGGGCGCCGGTGGTTCCCGGCGTCGCTTTCGTCTTCGCCGATGAGTCGGAGGTACCAGGCCCTTGCTCGCGTCAGCACATGGATTACGGACTAGTAACAAAATGACGTCTAGTAATGCATTACTGCACGTAGGGATTCGGAGGCGTAATGATGGCTTGAATGGCTGGAGCTAACGTGTCCCTTGAGTAACGAAGGCGCACGGACGGGATGCGGGGCTGTTCTGATAGTGGTAGGTAGGTACTAGGTATCTGGGAGGAGAGGGAGAGAAGGGAAGATGCATGGGTAGAACTCGGAGTTTACTGACCACTCCTTAAAGGTGTATTTTCGCGGCGGCGAGTGCCGTAGATGCTTAGTCACGCGCGAGATTTCGTCGATCAGGACGAGATGGTATTCGGCGCGGGATTTGGGTAATTCGGTGGGAAAGCTGTCCCGGGCTATTGAGGAAGCGTCTGAGGCAGATTTCGATCTCGAATCCCGGCTACGTGATGTTTTGGATGTAGATGCGGTTGATGCACCTCCTGCAGGGGGTGAGGTTGGACTCGATACACCCTTCTTGGCGTCTTTGTCGGCTCTCTGATTCGTCTCTGCGTTGTTAACCTCGTTCGTATTCGATGGTCCCTCATTTTCATTCCCCTCTTCCTCGTCTTCTTCCTCGTCGTCTGTGTGCTCGCGAGCGGCGCCCAAAAAGCCTGGGGGAGTTTCTTCGATATCGCTGTCCATGAACAATACTCCGCAGGACAATTTCGCCAACAGTTGCTTTATTTCCCTCCTAAATCCGTGTTCACCGGGCAAAATCGTTATATTTCCGAGCAGGAGAGTACCGTCCTTGACGCCCTTAACGATCGTGTCCCCTGCGTTGGATATGAGGACAGTCATGGTGGGCAAGGCCATGAGGGACCAGAAGACGAAGAAAGCTTTGGCCGAGTTTGACACCGGGGTAAGATCGCCATATCCGATGGTCGTCAGAGCCGTGAACGCGAAATAGAAACCGTCGAAGTAGGTCCATCCCTGATATGGGGCTTCGCATTCTTGGAAAATTTTAGCGCCCACAAGCCAGAGCACTATCCAAGTCGACGAAGATACGGCCATTGCGGTCCACCTCTCCCTTCTCGAAGCTCTATTATACATTAGTTCCCTGCTGCGACATTAAGAAGTCTTGCTCTGTGGATACGCATCGATATCGTAGAAGAAAGTTGTGGTTGACTCTAAGCTTTCTACAGCCCGCAGTCCTTGTTACGAGGACTATGTGAAGGGAAAAAAAAAGGCACTTGACACTTACTATCTCTAATTAGTATATGAACATAATAGATGGGGCGGGACGAACAGGAAGCTAGATATATCTTGATAGAAGGATCTCGAGGCTTTTGTGTATATTGCTTTATACATACCTGTCGTTGGATCTTCCGCATTAATTGGAACTCTTTTTGACGACGTTCGAACTCCGTCCACCGAGCTCTGGAAGAACTGTCTGAAGCTTCGTCGTCGACCGGCTCAAGGACATCGGCGTTTCCTTTCCGCAAGATGCGGCGGATTGATAGGCGTCGCTGCCTCTCCAACATCCGTGCGTCAAGTCTACGCTTGCCACGATCGAGAATCATACTTCGAATCGATCCAATCACTAGACCGAGGCTGATGACGCCAACTAGGGCGTACGGAACGAGAAGGGCACGACCGAGGGTAGTCTGCGGAGAGATATCGCCAAAGCCTACGGTGAAAAGAGTAACATCTGCCCAATAAACAGTGTCAAGATAGTTCCAGCCCTCGATCTTTGAGAAGATCAAAGCACCTATAAGCAAGTACATGAGAAAGAGGATAGTCTGAAGCATTAGTGTCCTCTGGCTAGTTGTCAACTCAAAGTCTTTACCATAGTGGCCGGTCTCTGCACCCCAAACGTTGATGACCATAAGAGACGCGACTATGAAGTAGAGGATAGCCGCGTACATGCCATAGTAAAAGGCCTGAGACCAGACATATTCAATCTCGGGTTGGAGACGCAGCAGCCCGCTTGCTGTGGCGCAAAGGGCTATGAGACATATTGCCGATATATACCAACCGGCTATCGTTATAGGCTGCGCGATAGAAAACCGCACTCTCTTAGTCATGTTGAGCAAGAGGAATACGTTTGCAACTAGAGCGATGATTAGCTGGACGGCATTGACGGCTATGAGCCACGATGGATCCGGGACGAAGACTGCCTTGGTGACGTCTGACCCTGGCGGAATATGCTCTTTCCAATTCTTAACGAGAGCACATATACTGAAAGCTGAAGCCACCGGACCTAGCGTGCCAGCTATCATGGGGAACGCCGCCGAAGCGAACCACCATCGGCTACAATCGTGTTAGTCGGCCAGTTTCGGTATTGCTCGGATATAAGGGATGATGGCTTGCTCACCTAGGATCCAGGTGAAGCTGGTCACTCATTATGCCATGGTGGCCGTCCTTCCCGTCCTTCCCGTCCTCGAGGCCATCGATATCTTGCGATTGCTCGCCGATATTATTACCAAGATCTGCATCGTCCATCTCGATGAGCGAACCGGTTGGCGTTCATACCTGAATCGTAAGTTTGTGGAGAGACCCGAGTGAAATTTCGATCCATATGCTCTGCTAGATAATCAGGATAGTGAGGCTTAAAAATTATTTCCCCTTCAATAGGGGAATTATATATATGAGTTATAGATGCTTCCATGTTTTGGATAGGAAAAAAAATACTTTAAGACTATACATAGCAAAATAGTAAATGGCAAGACAAAGGGGGGTCAGCCGGGCATTTCCTTGGTGTGTGGAATGACGTCGCTTGGCATTGGATCGCGGAGCTAGTGGAGACCGTTGTGCCGGAGAACTACCTAGGTAGGATCAAGGCGCAATAACCTGCTGGAATGCCGGTCGATTGGTACCCACTGCATCCACTAAATATCCTACTATAGCTGCTGAACCAGTTCTGGAACCAACCGATCTCACATCTGCATCGCCTAATTTTTTATCGCTCGACGCGTCAAAAATAACTTCAATTTTTTCCTTGCTCACGCATCACTCTGTCACGCGTCTGATAGAGCAGGGCTCGCACCATTCCTTTATCTAAATTGTAAATACGCTCTATTGGGGTGATGCTTTATGATATAGGCGATATAAAGGATAGAATATGCGAAGATGGATACTGGCTAGGAGCTCGGTATTCAGAGGCCTTCATGGCCCCAAGCCAAGATGGTTTAGCGCAGTTGTCAATGATGTGGAACGAGTAAGTGTTCGGAACGGCTCATCAGGTGTCGTTACTATTGAGTAAGTCGACTCTAGAATCCTCATACGATGAGACTCTTGTTCTTATATGCATGAGTGAATAGTCTACACAATATTGCTAAAGTGTCATCGCCCGACCCTTTATTGATATATCTACCGCCGTTCTCAACCGCATTTGCGGGTAGACCTGCACAGTTACCAAGGTTTCTCCAGAGACAACCAACGGCTGTTATTAACTACCGTTGGGCAGGCTTCTCTCCTTTCCAGACCCAGGATTCGGATATCTCGGGGTCTGACGAGCAGCTGGAAGAGGATGAAGAAACTCACTTGTCATGGCCAGCTCCTATCCACGATACAGCCAGGGCGTATGACTGGATTGTCGAGAACCTCGGCCCCTCAAATTATACACGTCGGGACATATACGTATATGGCTCTTATCTCGGTGCATCGCTAGCAACATCGCTGGCTCTGACAGAAACTCATCCCCACGCGCGGATGGGTCTCAGAGGAGTTGTGGCCTACAACGGGATATACAACTGGACCATGTTCCTCCCAGACCACCCAATCAACCAGGTGCCGAAGCTACGTTCGATGAGCATATTTGAGGAAATCCTAGCTCGGCCAGGGGATCCCGATTTTCAGGAGCTGAAGCAGCATGCTGAAGCGCTCTTCGGAAGACCCGATAACCTCTTTGATCCCTTTGCGAGCTCTTGTTTATTCTTCCATACTCCGGGCCTTTACGTGCCCCCATCTTTCGACGCGTCAGCTCTCGCTCCCGTGACGTCGTTGCTGGACTCACCTACTTATACGGAAGATACGTCTCAGTTATGGATGCCATCAACGCCGCCGAGGAAAAGCCCGCTTATCTTCCCACCGAGGAATTCGACGCTGAAAATCCCCGAGACGTTGCTACTACACTCCACGCCTCCGCCGTTACCGCCGTCATTTCAAAGGAGAAGACAGAGACGGAAGAAAGAACATGTGGGGAATAATTTCAGGGCGCAGGCTGAAGAGCTCGCCAGGTTGATGCGCAGGAGTATTAATAAGGTTGAATTAGCGGAGCGTCTCAAATGGGACTACGAATTGAATGGCTTGGGTGATGAGGCTGACAGAAGGGTCCAAGTCTATGATGCGGGATTTAACACTGGTGATTACAGTCTCGGTGGCAAGGGAGAGGAACAGGCTGCGGCTTGGTTAGAAGATCATATAGGGTAGTTTGTGCGAGGACTAGCTGAATAATGTTTGTTGACTTCGATTCTTGTGCGCATGCTCTTTCGAGGGTTTTACCTTCTCGAAAATATAGTACCTGTTATGTCGTATAAGTACCATACCACCGAGAAGACTCAATAATATACCCGATTGCTCTTTGACGTCAAAAACAGACAAGTTAAAAGTCAAACTTAATAGGCCTATTAAAGCTGAGCCCTCCTCCCATCCTCATTTTCCCTAATATTTCGCGATTGATTCGCTGCATAATTTACCAAACCTGGAACTTCTTCTGCCTGAGGCAGCAAATTTGTCCATTAACCCGATGCGATGCAATGCTCAATATAACACATCAACCAACTTGCCCCTACAAGTCAAGTAAATCATTTTCCCAATTTACTCGTCAGTCTATTTCGAGTCATAAATCAACCCTGCAATTGTTACTGATTGTGCGACATCAATTTTCTGGAGGGTGAATTTCCATCTCGAATACGCTAGCATTGATAACGTGCTCTAAATCAAAAACTGATAAGCTACAGGGGTCTGATGGTCTAGTGGTAGGATTCTCGCTTTGGGTTGGGTTAACTCAGTCGCAAAATGCGAGAGGTCCCGGGTTCGATCCCCGGTCAGACCCTTTCTCTATCGTCACTTTTTAACGGTAACAGTTATGTTTTTCAAGAACCTTCATTAAGTATGTCAAAGCTACGACTTTTTCCAAGGTTTGTTATCGCATACATAATAGTGCTAGCAAATCTGTGTTTGTACCGGATTGTTAAGGTTTTGATGATTAATCCTTTCCGGTACCAAAACGTTTATCTCTTCTGTGCCTATAGCATTCATTCACCTTCAATTGAATTGACACCCTACATGCCTTAATTGAGTACCTTATTAAGCTTCTGAAGCGAGTATGTTTTGGTGTTAATATAGTGAATTACTTCTCAGTCAATCGTGTCATTGGGACTTTTTTGAACCACAGGGCTGTTCTCTATGCCTGTCATCAGACATACCATAATTTATCGACGAACATATCATAATATCTCCCAGGTATATTCGTAGAGCCCATATACAATATAGTAAGCTGAAGGTATAGTGAGATATGTAGTACAGGTGTCCCAACCCAGGCCGCGGTTCCCGTGTAATATGTCCAGTATATATCGTCTGATGGCAGAGATTCCATACCCACCCACCCTATACCGACCTATGCATGTAAATTATCCCCCCTCTATATGATGAATAGATATATACCCCCTGGTATGTGAGAAAATCCTTTGTTTATATGCACATATATGCAACCCCCCCTACCTCCAACTCCACCAGCTCTTCTTCTTCTCATTATACCCCTCCTCCTTAACATCATGCTGACCCACAATCGTTAAGAACACCTGATCCAGCGTCGTCGGCGTGCAGGAATAATGCTCGATGCCCAGCTCCTCCTTATGCTCCTCAAGGATAACAATAAGCTGACCGACGGCGCTCCCGCTAGTCTCGTGACTTTGGCTTTGGCTTTGGCTTTGGCTTCCGATCGCGCCGGCGGGCACCGAGAACCGCATCTGGCCGTGGTACGTCTTCTGCTCGACGGCGGCGGCGTCGGGCCACGTGTCCAGGACCCAAGCGCGGATCCGCTCCATCTCCTCGGGCGACGAGTGCGGCGCCGTCTTGCTGACGAGGTGCACGTGCAGGGCGTCGCCGAAGCGCTGCCGCAGATTCTCCGTCGTGCCCATGGCCAGCATGCGCTTGGCGAGGATACCCGCGCGGTTCGCCAACGCGTCGGCTTCCTCCATGCTGTGCGTTGTGAGGAGGATGGATCGTCCGGGTACGATGGAGTGCAGCGTGCGCCACATGATGCGCTTGGCTGCGGCGTCGAGACCCGAGGAAGGCTCGTCGAGGAGGACGACGCTGGGGTTGCCCATTAGGGCGATGCCGAGGGATAACTTGCGCTTGTTTCCGCCGGAGAGCGCGTGCGCCATGCGGGTCGAGAAGGCCTCGAGGCCTACTGCACGAAGAACGGCGCGTACATTGTGCTCGATGTCTGGGATACCCCGGATGCGCGCGTAAAAGCGCAGGTGCTCGAGGACTGTCATGGAATCGATGGCGTCGAATTGCGGACATACACCTAGGTGGGCTCGAGCCTCGGCACGACGGCGGCTGACGGAGGTGTTCTCGACGAAAACGTCGCCTCCGTTGCGGCTTGGTTGGATGTCGCCGCGGATCAACGAAATGGTCGTCGATTTGCCGGCACCGTTGGGTCCTAACAGGGCGAAGACTTCGCTATGTTGAACGCCGAATGTGACGTTATCAACAGCCGTGTTTTTGCCAAACGACTTGGTTAAGTGTAACACCCGGAGGCCATCGCTCTCCTGCGCGGTGCTAGTCACGCGAACTAGTTCGTTGGCTACTTCTTCGTCCGAAGCAGCTGGGTCATTGGAAGTCGGCACGCTCTTCTTCGTGAAGCGGCTTAGAAGAGAGCTTCCAGATCCGCTATCGTGCCATAGCAAGAAACCGAACAAGAGGATTGATTGTATTACTAAGTAAAGAATTGGTCCTCCATAGGCAGTCAAAGCCCCAGGGTTGCGCTCTACCTGATCTCCGTTGCAAGTTACAGAGAAAAGGTTGAGAGTAATGAACATCGTTCGGACGACTGAGCCAATAGGTATAAAGGCAGAGATCACGAAATGAGCAATAAGTATGGACTGGTCGATCTGATTGACTGGCGCGTACGTGATGACACACAGGTATGCGATTAGGTAGATTAGAAACCCGACGGCCTGGCCAGCTGCGGAGAAAGCGTAAGTGGACAACTGATTGCCGCAGAACAGAGAAATGACATATGAGAATAAGATAGACGCCAGTCCATAGAGGATAAAAATGAGGAAGAGATAGGCGACATGGTACCAAACATCTGATTGCGCAGCAAATACGCCGGTCGCAATCGCGGAGGAAACAAGGACAATTGCGAAATCAAATGCCGTATACGAAACCCAGAGGGGAAGGGAGCGTACTCCGTTCGAATATTGTAGGCCACGGACGTTTCGCCGCCTCTCAATATTGGGATAGAGACCAAAGAAAGCAGGATATATCGAAAGAGCTAAACAGAAGTAGATCAGGAGCTGTAGGGAATCTCCAGTTGACGGTGCCCAGGGCGTATCGAAGGGCGCATAATTTGTAGCGATACTAGTATTTATCAACATGATGTCGAGAGCGTTCTGGCCGAAGACCGAAGTGTAGACATCTCCAGCATCTGCTTCATATGTAATAGTCGGCGGGGAATTAGCATCCCCAAGCCACCACCCAGCGGGTTTCACATCTTTTCGTCTCTGCTCGACGAAGTTATTGAACTCATCTAGAGAATCGACAAGGTGCAGGCTTTCGAGGAATGCGGCTACAGGACCTAATCCGGCTACCGTGGCGTTGTCGAAGCCTGATTGACGCCGGGCTAGAGTCTGGTTCTGACCGAAACCCTGGAGGGTAGGAGCAAAGAGTCTCTCTATAGTAGCATTATCAAATTGTGAAGACGGCCCAGCAACTAAAAACAGGTTGTCGTATAGATCTGTGCTGTCTGAGGTATCAACTGAACCTTGGTCCGCTGGGCTGCATCCAACGGGATGTTGATCCGTGACGTAGAGAGATGTCAGAGCGGCCGCTATGATCGGAATCAGGAAGGCTGCCACATAAGGAAACCAGTTGGTTTTGAATATAGTGCATCGCTTCATGAATAGCACTGAAATCTGTCTCATAAAACCAATTGGCCTTCCTGACAGCAGCTCCAATCCATCTTTCTCAGTCTCACTACCTCCAACACCTTCCTCAGAGATTGCTTGCTTGTCGTTACCAGCTTCAGCAGAAGATGAGGTATCTGGTGATTTGATAGCACTCTCGCCTCTAACTTCCTCGGCTACTTGCAGGAACACGTCTTCAATAGTCGGATTGGAGAACTTATAGTCATGTATTCCTGCGGATTCGAGGGCACGTATTACTTCCGCAGCAAGGCTAGAGGACGGGGCGATATAGCTGATCACATCAAATCCTATCTTGCGGGTAACATTTTCGACTTCCGGGGGGTTCTTGATCTCTCTGGCATTGAAGACATGGACGCGATATCCGGCACCTAATCTGTCCTTGAGTTCGACGGAAGATCCCTGAGCACGCAATGTGCCCTTGGAAAGGATGGCGATATGATCCGCTAGAAGATCGGCTTCATCAAGGAAATGGGTTGTCAGGATGATCGTTCGTTTTCCGCGTTCAGCTAAGAGTATATCCCAAATCTTGCGACGAGAGAGGGGGTCAATTCCGGAAGAGACTTCGTCGACGCAGCAGACAGCGCTCCCACCAGTTAACATCATCCCGAGTTGCAGCTTGCGTTTCTGCCCGCCCGACAGTGTCTTGGACATGGCCTTGGCCTTTGGTCCGAGATCCACAGCCACCACCAAGTCGTGGATTTCTTGTGCAGATGCGGTGTTGGCCGGTGATTTTAGCTGATTAAAGATCTTGATATGCTCCTCGACAGTCAACTCATCCCACAAGACATTTTTCTGCGGTGCGATACCTAACCCACCAGTACCATCGATTGTGATGTCACCACTAGTCAATTTGCTGATACCAGCAATTGAGTCCAGTGTAGTACTTTTCCCACTGCCATTGGCGCCAAGTAACGCCAGAATTTGTCCCCTTCTCGCGGTGAGAGTTAATTTATCAACAGCCACAACTGGTTCCTTCGGTGCTGAACTAAAAGGGAGGAATCGGCTCAATGGATTAGGATAATAGATCTTCGTAAAGCCATCAAGGCGGACGGCATCTTGGGGAGCAGTCTCAGCACTCTGGCCTTGCAGAATTGTGCGACCTTTCGTAGTTGTGCCGTGAAATACACGTTCAAGGTAAGCGCCAATGATGGGGTAGATGATAATCTGAAGAATAAGAAATACCCAGAAAACGATGCCGGGTAAGTTCCATGGATTCTCTGGGGGCCTATTCACTAGGTCTGCTGGATATGAATATCTCTCCCATCGCGCAATGAAAGTCATAAACCAAACAAAGTTACACGGCGTCTATAATAGCAAGAAGTTAGTAACAATATTATTAAATAATAGGGTATCACAAAGGAAGAGCACATCTCGGGAGCTAAGGGACTACATTTGGCATAGGGGATGTTGATTTTCGAGACATTAAAGGGAGAGAACGAATAAGTCTGAGTATACATACGAATAGCAGACTAAGTGCTGTGACTGTCGCAGTACTAGGCGACGTCAGCGTTTGTGCTAGAATTGCGAGCAAAATATATGCTATTACTGTCACAACACCAGACAGTTGTGACCTCTTGAAGAATGCGGCGCCCAATATGGAAAGTGATGTTAAAGCGAGACCAGTGAGGATGAAATAAATAAGCACGATGGCGACACTCGTATCCGCCCAGACTCCGCGCGCGATGATGATTGAACCCACTACCCAACCTGGAAGATATACTAGGGTAAAGGCAATGTGGTAGGAGAGTAGTCTTGCGACTTGGGCTTGCCAGCGATACTTCGTAGGCATCATGGCATCTAACAGTTGAGACATGCCTATTTCTCTTTCGGTGGCCATATGACCCGTCATATGGTAGCAGACTCCAATGACAACGACGAAAAAGGATACAGCCAAAAA